TAACTTGGGCTGATTTTTTTTTAATATTACGCAAACGAAGTCACGTGCAACAGCTAGTATGTCTCATTTACCATTGAATTCGACTATATAAATAATTCTAATTGATAAATAAGGGAACCTTTTGATGTTACTAATATATTTAAACCAATAAGACCCTTAGTAACGAATTAGGACTTTATGGCAGTGAGTTGGTCACTAATAGCCACCCTTAGCATTGAAATATCTACACTAAAGATTGCAAACCATTCTGCACATTTCCTATACACACTAAAACATACCACAAATTATTTTTGCCACGTTGTTACTCTATACTAATATTATAAAGCGGAAGAGTTTGTTTAAACGTGCTTATCTCAGGAACTACTGGTCCGATTTGAAAAATTAATTATAGAGGAAGGCTTTAGGCTATATTACGCAATAGTTTATTTTAAATTCCGCGCGGACGGAGTCGCGGGCGACAGCTAGTTGACGTAGAAAATTGTTAATTTATTTGATTTAGCATAACCTTTATTACTAACACTAGCTGTAGCCCTCGACATCGCCCGCTCGGAATTATAAAAAAAAAAACTAAATGACATGTTCAAAAATTTGCCTTCCATAAATGGACAGAGGAATAGAGATACCCTTCCTATACGTCCTGTCCCCTTCCGAGCCCAAGGAATACTATGGCAGTTTGTTAATACATTTTAGTGTGTATTTTTTAACTAAACAATATACATTTTTTAAATACTTTCAATTAGCGTCTCGTTAAAAAAGACGCGTGACTTAAGGCGCCATTTTGAAATATCAGTTTGACATCTGTCAGAATATGTTTTGACTATAGTCAAACAAGGATCTGAGCCGGTGTATAAGGCGATACTGTCGCGGTAATTTATCTAAAAAAAAATCATTTTTCTTCAGAGACCTGAATCTCCGTATAAGGTATACCGTTAGGGAACGTACCCATACTACGTGACCCGTTAAGGGGAGGGGGAGTGTTAATGCCGTCTTTAAAATGGTCAGTCACAGGATATGACAGAGGGGAGGGTGGCTCATGTATTTGTCACGTAGTCGTTAGTTTTTTTTCATAATACATAATTCACGAGTAATTTAAGAATGCATGCAATCTTATGCTATAAAGAAGAGTATGAGCCAAATTATTTCTTTTTCAATTTTTGCTTATGAAATGATTAAAAATCATAATTATGAATTACTACGTAAAAACTAAAGGGGTGTGTCTTGGCATGTACTACGAGTGGTAAAAAAATAGGTCACGTAGTATGGGTATGTTCCCTTATCTCCATTTTGTCAAATAATGACAGGGATTACGATATGTTTTATATTATTACATCTCAGAAACCCATGGTACGACATATTGGTTATGGAAATTAAATAATGCTGAATATTGCGACTAATATTTGACAGTTTTTCAAGGTCATTATAACCGATTTAGTAGATTTCTACAATGCAATTGTTTAGAATTTTTTGTAAATTTTGTTATAGCGTAAAACTGTGGACTACGTCTATTTATAATTTAACTAGGCATATTAAAAAAAACTCAGTAATTACAAGTTTATAAACTAACGTAAATAAATCGTCAAATTATGAATGAATATTATTTAATTTAAATTACTATTAAATAAGATGAGATGAAAGAAGATTAATCAAAGAATATAAAAGTTTATTTCGTATGTAATATAGTAATTCAGTTTACAATATGCCTAGTTAGTTTACAAATTGACAAGTTGACGAAAATTTACATTGAAAAAAAAAATACGATTTAAATCTTTTAACAAATCATACGAAATCGATTTTATTCGATAATCGATTAATTCGATTTTTATAAATAATCGATTCGGTAAAATAGAAATCGATATATCGATGATTGAGATGTCAGATTTGATTCAAATTCACTAATATTATTGGAAAATTTGTCAAAATTTTGCCTGTTTCATTCTAATACTTCTCATGTATATTTCATATAGTCCGACAAACTTATCTGACCCGGTTGGTATAAGTCAAATTATCTTATAAAGTCAATACAACAAATTACTTATCAGACTTCAACTGCATAAATTACGAATATATGATTAAAAAAACCCAAAGAAATTATTAAAGTTAAGGAAATTTGTCAAAAAAAAAAAACTACAATTTTTATTTTATTAACTGACGTCTTTAGATGTAAGAAATAAATGGTATGATGGTTTAAAAATTATTATATTAATAAAAATGATATAATAACGATTTTAAATTCTTTACATAATGTTAGAAAGCAAATCCGACACTATGCCGGTGTATCGCAACACTAGCCTTACTAAAATGTCGACGTTACTCCCTCACTAATCAATCTGACACTTGACTTTGTAACAAAAGCCCGCCATTGGCGCCAAAAGATTCTAACTAATGTCTGAAAATACTTTCCATCTCTCACCAGGCCAGATAAATTTGTCGTACTATATTTACCCGTATAGGAGAAATCACTTATAGTGTGTCTATTTAAGATAGATTAGTTTGACATTTCTAGATATCGGGTTGAGTGAAATCCATTAAGATTTTTTTCGATTTTCGATGTCTGTTCTCATAGAACTTGCAATCGTAAATTACGTAATTATTGTTTTTAAATTATAAATAAAATTGTTTCTTTCTATTCCTACTTTATCCTTCATAACTATATAAAGAAATAAGATATTAAACAAAAAATTGTGATGTTGACGAACAAAAAGATTTTTTTAATTAATTGTACGATAAATAGTTAAATAATTATAATAAATACAAAAATGTATAAAATAACTAAATCACATAACTCATTTGTTGGATTAATTTTATAACAGAAGAGATATTCTCGATAGTTCGTTACTATGACAACCGTACATTAAGTACAACATTAATTCTCATACAAAATTAATTAGATATTTTATACACAAGTCACTTGTCTAACTTATCTATCTTAAATACGACACACTATAATAAGACATTAGCTAAAAATCGACGAAACCCGTCAGAATAAGAGACCGTACACAAACCAGAGAAACAGTCAAAAAAATTGAACTTTATTGTAACAAAGTTTAACTTTACTGCCGCTTGCTAAGAAAAGACGTAAAAAAAACTAAATTAAACTTTATATAAATTGTTAGGTAGAAAATCTGACACTATGCCGGTGTATAGCAACACTAGCCTTACTAAAATGTCGATGTTTATGTCCCCTCACTAATCTGACACTTGATTCGTAACGAAAGCCATTCGCGTCAAAGCATTCTAATTAATGTCTAAAATAATTAATTTTCATGGTATTTATAACATGGTTAAAAAAAACTGAATATTTAACAACATTAAGGTGTTTAATCTCTCGATATTGTAGTTGCATAGACCATTGTCACGTAATTATGACAAGTGTCATGACAGGCCTGTGAAAACATACAACTGCGCCTTAATTGTTAACTAAAACATGTGAATCGTGTTAAAAATTCCTCTTTTAATTAATTTAAACCTTCTTCACTTTACATAAAGTTCAATTTTATTTGGGATTAACACGTTAGCTGTCAGAATAATTTACCAGCTGTTTTTAAGCTTTATGGGGCCTTGAGAGTCACGCTGTTTACAATAATTCGATTAAAATGCGTCCGACAAGCCACAGCGAGGTGTTGAATGGAAGTCAGACATGGCAGCTAACGTGTTAAAAATGTGCTCATGTCACCCGGTTAGTGTAAACGGACCTTAAACCTCAAATACCCGACTTATTATTATTAAATTGAATTTGATTATGATTTTCTTTGACTTTTTATTTTTAATTCACTATATTTCTTACTTTTTTTTTAATGTAATTTTATTGCCATTAAACCACTATCCAAGTTTTTTTATACATTTCGCAAAATAAAGCGCATTTTATTATTTTAATTTAGTAAAATTTTATTTTGTACTAACTCTTTTTAAGCATAAAATACTTTTAGATAAAACATTTTAGAAACCAGGCTTTAAAAATGCATTTTTATTAACAAAATCCGAACCAAAACATATGATTTTTTTTTTAAATATCTGCAGATTTTTTCAATTAAAACATATTATTTCTTGTACCAAAGCAAAGAAAGCTTCTAGGTTTGTGCCTAGTACACTAAGGACTCGAACAAACAACCAAATAATCGGTAACCCATATCTCTAACCATTTAACCTTTTAGAACACAAGGCAACGTAAATTTCAGTCGCTAATCTTACGTAATATAATGTCTTCAAAGTTAATACATCGCGCGTGATTTTTTTTGTCATTGTCAAATGTCACTCGCAACCTGTCAAGATTGTCGTGACAATTGTCAAACATTTTTAATATGGCGAAGCTACCGATGACCGATATTTGAATCGACTATTTAACGTTGTATGAGTTACTTTTATCGACTCAACCATACAATATTGTTTTTGTACGATTTACGGCACCTTGTGTACAAAGCCTTAAGTTTTGGCATTTCAAATGTTTAAAAAATTAGTAAGTGACTGCAATAAAACCCCACACTTATTTAACTGTAAAACAATAAAATTCGACTGTATACAAAAAAAATTACTTCGTTTTTTTTTCACAATAACATAAGCAGACTTATATTTTGTCATGTTGGTATCAAACCAAAAGTCAATATTTTTTTCCTTCGATATTAAAAACTTCGCTTACATAGAAATCATAGGCTTTCACACTAAAAGTTAACAAATCACATCTGACAAAATTGACAACTGTCAAATGTGACAAGTGTCAAATGTGACAACTGTCAAAAGTGCCTCCACTCATATGACAACTGTCAAAAGTGCCACCACTTGTGGCAGTTGTCGAAATTGACCATATAAAGGTGCCAGTTGTCAACTGTCAAACTTGATAACTGTCTAATTTGACAGCTGTAAACTTTAACGACTTTCAATACTATAAAAAGTCGACAACTGTCAAATTAACAACTGCAAGGTAACAACTGTTAAGTATGTCACCTGTCAAAGTTGACACCTGTCACGAATGTCAGCTTATCAACTGGCGCGTGACCGTTAGCATCCGAATAACTTGTATAAATAAAAATCCATACTATATACACATAACATTAAGCGTCTCTCAAAGACGCCGTCGTATCTGGAAGCGTTGACGAGCGCGTGCCGCCACCATCCAAACGTCAATCGAGTTTGACAGTTGTCAAATCACTGGACGAAACTTAACCGTGGTAACAAAGTCTACGCGTAAAAGGCGTCCGGTAGAGATCTTACAGGTAGAGACCTGTCACGATATAGTCTTGACGTTATCCGTGTCACTTGACAGGTTTGTCATGTCCGTCACTGTCACACAAACGTCACTATGCGCCAAGTGACGCGTTCGTCACCATCATGAGCGCGTTAAGGCCGACATGCGACCTTTTTGGATTACCTGCGGAAGAATATTTTTTTATTATTATTCAAATCTTAATCTTACTTATAAATACGAACGTTTAGATGTTTCTTAGAAATTTATAAACACGCCTGTTGATGTTAAGTAACAGTTAATTCTATCTAGATTTAAATTCAAATCTACAACACTATTGCGAACTTCTACATTGCGTCTAAATAGTGAAAATCAAATAAGAACAAAATATAACGTCTTCTAACCAGTCCATTTATAGAGGTCAGTGGCCAAGACTATAGCAAATAACATTTAGACGGGATTTTACCAACTTGAGCCTTTACGAAACGTTTTGTACGATTCGAATATCTCCAGAACGGCTGCATATATCTTGATGAAATTTGTCATACATATAGGAACATAGTCTGGAAGAACACATACTTATTGTTTTTTTTTTAAATTCGCGAACAGTCACATTTGATTAGTAATTGAATGAAAGTATACCTAGTCATAAAAGCGATCCCTGTCAGGCGAGGCGCGGGGCGGGCGCTGCGCGGGGGCGGGGGCGGGGGCCGGCGCGGGTGCGGGGGCTGCGGCGGGTGCGGGGGGCGAAGTCCCACAGTTAAGGAAGTCCCACACCAGTATTGTATCATCGTGCGACGACGAAACAATTTGAAACTCGTCGAATTGTAAACGAAACACGCGCCCCGTGTGCTCCTGTAATAATATACATGAAAATGTTATAAAATGACCCCGTAGTTCAGAGGTTAAGCACTTGATTTATAATATGCAAGTCTTGAGTTCGAATCCCGCTATGTATTGGTGTTTTTACATACATATGTACATTTAGCTGTTGTTGATTTAACAGTGGTAGAGCGAGCTTTAACATGTTCGCAGGAATTGTCCCGACTCGTCCGGTGAAATACCACGACCACACAGAAGACACGCCTCAAGTGGAAGTAATTCAAACTACACGCTGATGAGTTTGCGTCCCGGAGCTCTAATTTAGTCCTCTTTCCCTTAACACCCTTTTTCTTATAAGGAAAGGATGGGAAGTGGAAGTGGACTTTCCGGTTGACAGGATGCATGGAAAGGGAAGATATTTTCTTTCCGTGCAACCTCTCCTCCGTCGAATAAAGGTATGCAACGCATATGCAATTGTGTATGTATATGGGCAACGATCACTTCGCTATTTCAGCGATTTCAGGTGGGAGCTCGCTCGTTTGCCACCTTATGATATAAAAAAAAATATTTGAGTTTTATAAACACTTCAGGACGGAAACTTAAGGAGCGGTCTCTGAGTATCAATAAGTGTGTCTTGTTATTATTGTTATGAATGTCATAGATGTACCAACACACCAGGATGCTGGATCTCCTGGGAAGCTACCTTACTGTATCAATGTTTCAACTTCTCATGATTGTTACGAATGTCACCGATGTATGTCATGTCAACACCCCAGTGATGTATTTATAATATACTAAGGTGTGTGATTGCGTGTGATTATGTGTGATTGTGGGTGATTATGTGTGATTGTGGGTGATTGTGTGTGATTGTGTGTGATTATGTGTGATTGTATGTGATTGTGTGTGATTGTGTGTGATGTGATGACTTACGACCAGTGTGCGCAGACAGAGGTCCTGATGCGGCGTGCGCACGTCGAGAGCGGCGCGCAGATCCCACACCTTAATCTTGCCGTCATACGCGCCGCTTACTATCCGCTTGTTGTCGAAACTGGAATTAAACAGCACAAATTTATTACTTTACAAATTAATAAAACTTTCTAATTCTTTGGTTTCTGATAAAGATAATCTTTGTATACAATATTGTTTTAAACGGGGATTACGGTTTCAGAAACCCACGATAACTTGGATTATCTAAATATTATGAATCTAATTGTATCGTTTTAGGTAATATATTCCATTAATTATAAAGCTATAGGCGCTTCAATAGTCCTATGAAAAACTTACTTAATACCTGTAAAATTGCGCAACAAAACTGTAAACGCGCGCAATTAAGTAGTATACTTGCGCAACAAAATTGTAAAAGAGGGCAATTGAACTGTAAAATCATGTAATTCAACTGTAAAACTGCGCAATAAACTGTAAAACTAATACATAAGTCATAAACATACCGTATACACCTAACAAGTTCCTCATGTCCTTCCAACACTCGTATACATTGTCCGCACTCAATATCCCACAGTCGGATTGTGTTATCAGATGAACCGGACACAACCAATCTGTCCCTGTACTGTAGACATGCGATACCACGCTTATGTCCGTTTAATGTACGGACGAATTCACAAGATGATGTGTTCCATACCTGGAAAATTAATTTTAATTAATTAAATTTAATTAGTATCCTTCTAGATGTTTTATATCTATGACTTTCAGCGAGATATATTCATATCTGTAGATACATAATAACATACATTAATCCAATCATGTAAATAATATCGAAAAAACCAGTCAGTTGATCAGTCTGTATGTATGTCTTACTGTACCGATTTTGACGTGACTTTGTCATATAGGTAGCTAATTTACATGAGGTCTGGATTCGCCGAAATAGCGAAGCAATCGCTGCATAGACATCCACAATTGCAGATGCGTTGCCTACTAATCAACAGAGGAGACAGAGAAGGAGAACCCATTCCTATACATCCCTTCCTCCGTCAAATCCAATTACTCTTACAAGAAAAGGGTAGGAAGAAACCACTAAGGTCAATATATTATAAACTTGCTATCACCCACGACTCCGTCTGCGCGGATTAAAAAAAAATATAGCTTATGTGTTCTTCCAGACTATGTTCTATAGTCATTATCAGCTCACTATACATCCCCGCCGAGGGGCTCGGAGCCTACCCTAAATCACGGGTGATTAGGCCATAGTCAACCACGCTGCCAAAGTGCAGTGACTTCACACATATCTTCGAACTTCTCAGATATGTGCAGCATCACGATGTTTTCCTTCATCATAACATCGGATAAATGTACATATGTAAATCGGAAATAGAAACACATTGATACATGTCGGGATTCGAACCCAAGAGCCACCAACGCTCTATATGCCAAATTTCATGATTAATTCAGCCGTTTTGATAGTACCTTCAATCATCCATCCATCTATACATTCACATTTATATTATTAGTAATTATCTCACTTTGATAGTGCGATCTCCACTCGCGCTGACAATATACTTCTCATCAAAGTCGACCACATTTACAGCAGCGCGATGACCAACAAGTACACGTCGCAACATTATCTCAGTTGTTGACGTCATATCCCATACAGCTATCGAACGATCCTGGAAACACAATATTAATTTATAACTCTTTAAAGTTCATTTCCACTAACTAAAATTCGTGTAAAAACACGATTAGTTAGTTAATTACACATTAAAAACAATATTGCCCTAAATTATTGCTGTAAATTACAGTAAATATTAATTAATTACTATCAATATTATTATCCATTACAATCAATATTGTGACTATCCACAACTATCAATATTATTACTGTATAATTAAACAAGTGGTCGTGTGGTTTTTTAACTATTTATTGAATTATATGAACTTAGATTATAAAAATAGCGCGCCTTCCCGTAGCACACTTATATCCAATGAACCTCTAATGAACGTATAATGCACCATTGTTGCCAGCACAGGAAGGAAAAAAGTTTATAATAATTTGAATGTTGCCAATACAAAAAGAAATTAACAAGAATTAAACAAAAACAATAAATAATTTATGTGAATTAATTGAACAATTACTATCCATTACTATCAATATTATTACTATCCATTACTATCAATATTATTACTATCCATTACTATCAATATTGTTACTATCCATTACTATCAATATTATTACTATCCATTTCTATTAATATTGTTACTATCAGTACCTTACTGCATGTCACCATCATGCCGTTACAAAATCTTAGATGCAGCACCGCCTCGCAGTGATGTATGAGCGTGTTCAGCATAGTACCAGTGGTCACATCCCAAACACGGACTGTGCTGTCTGATGACCCGGATATGATGGCTCTCTCATCATACTGCAGGCATAGTACTGACCCCGTGTGACCTTGAAGCTCCTGGAAATTATAACAGCTCATGGAATTTACTGCAGACTTTGCCCTAAGGCTAATAGACCGTTAACTACGCCCTTTAACTACCCTAAGGGTAGCACACATACAGTTATAAATATTTTTTAAGCATTATAAAATGAAAAATGACTTAAAATCATGTGTATCTGTCCGTAGATATCTGTAATAGCAGATGCGTTGCCCAATTGATGACAATTGATGAAGGAGCACAGAAAGATATCCCTTTCCTAAGCGTCTTTCCTCTATCAATCCACTTTCCTTTCCAAATATTTCCTATAAGAATATGGGAAGGGTAAAATGATTGTCATAGTTTAACAAGTAATCTACTTTATCGTATATATATTTTGTATTTTCTTTTAAGCAAGAGATTTTTTTTTTTCTGTCTGTTGTGTTTAATAACATTTATCGTGTTAGGATTGAAAGGAAATTTCTCACAAAATGGATTAAATATCAAGAAATTTAACATCAAATAAATTTAATTTTTATTATGGCAGTTTTGACACACTGACATACCTTGACACACTGCAGCGTCTTTCTATCCCATATCTTGATGGTGTTATCTCTGAGTCCGGAGACTATCTTGTTATCATCATATTGCAAGCAATAGACCCCCTTCGAGTTCTCTGAACGACAATTTATCCTCTGTAATGATAAAGTATTCGGTTATTCCAAGTTTACACTGTTATTACACTTGTATTGAAACATAGTAGAATCTGGACAAGCCAGAAACAGTTACAAGCAAGAATATGTAAATTTTTTTTATATTATAGGGTGGCAAACAAGCAAAGAGGCCACCTGAAATAACTGAAATAGCGAAGTGACCGTTGCCCATAGACATACGCAATTAGATGCGTTGCCTAACTTTAATCGACTGAGGAGGGGATGCACAGAAAGAAAATATTTTCCCTTCCCATGCATCCTCTCATCCGGAAAATCCACTTCCCATCCTTTCCTTATAATAAACCATCCATCCAAACATCACCAGCTTGCTATACGTCCCCACCGATAGGCTCAGAGCCCCTAAGTTAGGTGACTAGGTCATAGTCAACCACGCTGACCTAGTGCGGGTTGACTTCACACATATCTTTGAATTTCTTCTCAGAATCGAAAATCACATTGGTATATGTCGGGATTCGAACCCTGGATCTGCAGATTGCAAGTCAAGTGCTTGACAGGCCACAGAGGCTCTTTTATACTACTTCTGGACCGAATTTCAACTTCTAACATCCATCCATCCAAACATTCTTATATATAATATTAGTAAGATCATGGTTGGGTCTCACCTGCAAATTGTGCCTACCCATCCTCCAATTGTCCTCAATCGATTGTATATCTTGAATTATTTTCGGATATAGTTGTCTGTAGAAACTATGAGATGGATGCTGACATCCCGGCTTCGGTTTAAATAGGTATAAGATCCTGTCGGAATAACTTTTCATTAGACTAGCTGTCGCCTATGAATGAGTGCGTGAAATAAAAAAAAAAACAGCCTATATGTTCTTCCAGACTATGTTCTATATGTATGACAAATTTCCTCAAGATCTTAAGCCGTTAAGGAGATACCTTCAAACATCCATCTATATAGCATTTATAATATTAGTAAGAAAGCTGTCGCTGTAACATAATTAGTAGCCTATGACTTCCAGATTATATTCTACATCTTTCAGCAAGATCTGTGCAGTCATTCCGGAGATACATTCCAACAAACATCCATCCATACATTCACATTTATAATATTAGTAAGATATATTACAACTAAAGCGTTTCAAAACAAGCACGACCTTCAGTAATGAAGAACACGAAGAATAAGAGATATTACAACTTGAAATATAAACAAAAACCTATGACAATGTCTAAGCGTAATTCAACGACATCACGTCAGAGGGCGCCACTAAAAAAGAAAAAGTTACTGGCACATTTTGGCGCCGTCAGATTTTATTTCTTTCTTTTATCGAGCAGTGTTTTGTTATTTTTCAGTGTGTAAAAGAGTGAGTTGTAACAATGATCTCTGCTCATCATAGTGTTGTCTTAATTTACTTATATTTGTTAAATCATAGTGTGTTGTATGTTTTGGTAAAGTTAGAATTATAATTTCTTAATCAACATTTAAGTGAAGAGTATGATGCTTTTATTTTGAACAAACAATCTTTACATTATTTAAATTTAAAGGATTAAAAATACGAATATAAAATACCATAAAAAAATCAAAGAAATAAGCAATTAATCTTTGATTCCTAATCTCTATAAATATAAAGCCGATTGCTTGGAAATCAATTTGCTATGTTCCGATTTAAACGCACTATGTTATCTGATAGTTAATTCTATCTATATTAGTTCCAATCACCACAATCCGCTATCATCAGAACCAAAACGGCAATAATCAAATAAGCACATGATGTAGCCGTTACAAAGGATGTACTCACCATCCTCTTCTCTCAGCGAGCCCCCTCCACAATGAATCAGTTCTGACTTTACGTTCCACCAATTTCTTCCAAAGCATACCTTCAGAGATAACTCTTTGCCATTCTCTACAGACCAGTTCCGCAGCACACAATGAATTAGCATCTAGATACGATAGGATATTCTCAGCTACATGGTCTAGACCTTTTTCTGAAAGAATAACGTTATTTTTAGTCATAATCAGATTACTACACATCCTCCCTGGCTTAGAGCCTACCCTAAGTTAGTAGACTTCACACAAATCTTTGAAAATCTGCAAAGAATGCAGATATTTTGCCTCAAGAAGTTATCCTTCACAGTTATAACATTGGATATATATACATACTAGCTGTCGCCCGCAACTCCGGCCACACGGTATTAAAAAAAAAACTTAATAAGTAGCCTATGTGTTCTTCCAGATCTATACAGCCGTTCTGGAGATACCTCCAATACACATCCATCTAAATATTCGCATTTATAATATTAGTAAGATGTGAATTAAAAACCACATGGGTATATAACGGGATTCGAACTCAAAACCTATAGATTACAAGTCAAATGCTAAACTGAGCTACCGATACTCTTAGAGAGTTTCTCAGACCTAAATCCCCGTTTAAATCATGTTATCTCTGTTTTTGTCATATTTATACGAAGATTTATGTCTCAGAAACTCACTATTAGTAATATTACCTAACTTATTCATTTATTAAACTTATTCTTAATATGTTACATTTCATATAAAAAAATATACAAAATATATTATATTAAAAATAGAGCACCACCGGCTGCGGAATCCCATGACTGAAACAACCAGTGGTCAGGGCTGCAGACAGGAACCTTCTCACGATGCGTGCGGTTTATAGGATAACTGCCTTTTGTATTGGGCCCTTAATCCAACTGTTTAACGAGAGCTTCTTGAGATGTTATATTTGTTGTGTTGTTTGATATAATTTTAACAGTGGTAGAGTGAGCTTAAACATCTTAGCACGAATTGGCTCGCCCGGTGAAATACCACGACCACACAGAAGACACGCCTCAAGTGGAAGCTATTCCACGTTTCGTTTGATAGGATGGGAAGTGGAAGTGGACTTTCCGGATGAGAGGATACACAGGAAGGGAAAATATTTTCTTTCTGTGCATCCTCTCCTCCGTCGCTTAAAGGTAGGCAACGCATATGCAATTGCGTATGTCTATGGGCAACGGTCACTTCGCTATTTCAGCGATTTCAGGTGGCAGCTCGCTCGTTTGCCAACTTATAATATAAAAGAAATATATTATAATACTCACTTGGTAGCATACTGATAAAGTCTCGCTGCAACATTGGTTTTAAATATGCATTTATATGTCCATGTTGGTAATGACACATTCGTGCCAACAACTGCTCCACAAATTCCACCTGGAACACAATTATAAGCTAATTAATATGACTAATCTATATCTTTATATATATATATATAATTCTTCTGTGAGTGTGTATGTCACTGAACTTCTCTCAAACGACTGGAGCGATTTTGATGAAATTTTTTGTGTGTGTTCAAGGGGATCTGGGAATGGTTTAGATTCAAAATTTTGTCCGCTGGACAATGTTTTTTTAATTAATTTTTAATTTATTAGTATTTGTTGATTTTGGAATGTTTTACATTGGATCCGACAGACGGTGCTACCATCGCACTGTCAAATTTTAAATAATATTCGAATTAAAGACGTGTAGACAGGACAACGTCTGTCGGGTCCGCTAGTATATATATAAAATTGGAGTGTCTGTATGTAATATTGAAATAACCGTTTTTATTTCATGTATATGAATAAATGTTTGGATACACACATCATTTTTTAAAAAAATTGACGGTATGTCTGTCTGTTTGTTCCGGGTAATCTCCGAAATGGATTGACCGATTCTGATGGGACTTTAATTAGCAGTTAGCTTATATAAGGAGTAACTTAGGACTACATTTATAAATATTAATAAATTTAGAGTGTCTGTATGTAACATGATACAAATGCTTATTCTGGGTAATCGGCTGGACCGCTTTTGACGGGATTAAGCTGATATACACGGGCACATAGGCTACTTATTTCGCAATTCAGTGCTTGCGAAGTCACGGGAGACCGCTAGTATAACATAAATAATGTTACTAGCAAAAACAAATACAGTCCAACCTGGATAAGCGAGAAACTTGGGTAAAAGAAAAACCTCTATCTTATATATAAAATTCTCGTGTCACAATTTTCGTTCCCATAATCCTCCGAAACAGCTTGACCGATTCTCATGAAATTTTGTGAGCATATTGAGTAGGTCTGTGAATCGGCCAACATCTATTTTTAATCCCGCGCGGACGGAGTCGCGGGCGACAGCTAGTATAGCTAATATAGAAAAATATCATAGTCACAAGCCATTTTTAATATAAGCGCCACCTATTGGCTGAAATACAAACCCTACAAATATGCCCTAGTCCTTTTCAAAAGAACAGAGATACTACTGAAATTACTCAAGAAACAAGGGTTAATAGCATCAATATCACGCTTATAACCTAGAGGGGTAGGCAGAGACCAAGGATCTCCATTTGTCGTGGTGACAAACCTACATTCATACTTCTACACATATATACACCTTAGTTTCTAGTGCTGAGTATTCCATCAAGCTAGAAAATTAGATAGTTGTTACTTAAGCTTTAATTATACCTGGTCCGTTTCGTTCCATCTTGAGAATAGATTCAAACATGTGTTCCTCTCCGCTACATAGGCAGCTCCACTGGGCGCGGGCCGTACTCCTGTGTCTAAGGATGTCAGGGATGTCACCTGAAAAAAACAATATAAACATTAGAACTACTGTTACACTGAAAAATAGGATATATGTTACTATAACTGCGAAAGTTTTAATGGATGTTTGTTTGAAGGTATCTCCAGAACGTCTAAACAGATCTTGATGAAATTTGGCATACATAGAACATACTCTGGAAGAACACACAGGCTATTATGTTTTTTGATAATTCCGTGGGCGACCGCTTGTATTAGTATAATTTTGAATAATATAATATAGCAAGTTGAGGAAAATTTTTAAACAAAAACACTATCATTCAAACAGAAATAAAGATAACATTATTTAAATGAATTTACTTAAGGAAAATGTTATTTATTTGCTAGTTAGCCTGCTTCTAAAGTAACTTTCATACCATAATAATATTAAAACTAGCAGTGGATTTAAAAAAACAACTTAGTAGCCTACACATTCTTCTAGACTAAGTTCTACGTCTGTCAAATTTCAGCTAGATCCATGCAGCATTCAATAGATACCTTCTAACAAACATCCATCCAAACATTCGCAATTATTATATTAGTTTAAAGTGATATTACTTTTATTTTATAGTATATAACATAGTAACATATCCACTACAGATGTAAAACAAAATCAATAACTAGGAATCAATTTGTAAACCAAAGCAGTTGTATCGTAATATTTACATAATAAAATCAATGGCCTAACTATAATGTTACCGTTATAATAAAGCGATTTAAAAAAAACATTCAGGATAACATTAAAACTTTTTACCTTCTCTAACTTTTTATATATATTTTTTTTTAATAGATAAGGGGGAAAACGAGCGGCGGGAACACCTAGGAGATTTGCAACACCAGAGGAACTGCAGATGCATTGCTGGCCTTTAAGGAAATAGTATGCAGGCAGGTCCCTAAGTCATATTCTAAAATTAAAACTGTCATGCATTGTTTGCTTCTTGACAGGACAATTAGGTGCCAACACAGAGCAACATATATCTGCAACTTTTTTTAGACAACCATTATTCTAGAGGTGGCATATTGTTATCTACTTTATTCTAGATAATATTCTTTAAGAAAAAAACTAAACTTTATTGCAATTTTATTGATATGCCACTACTGATGCAACAATGTTTTGACATCTACAATTTCCTATTCCCACTGGAACCCACTCCAGATCTTCCTGAATGTTTCATCCCATTTACTTCTATGAATATATTCAACTGTATGTTAACAAGGAGAGTTAACACCTTATTCTATACCACATAGTTTACAGTTTTGTGTTACATTTTACTATGAAACTACTACTCCTTCAGATTTGGACTTTGTAACATATTTTCATAAAAAAATCAACTATTGAAAGAATTTATTTCATTTGATTATTATTATATTTAATACCAACTATTAGAAAATAATACAACCAATGAGATATGTTATTTTATTTTAACAAATTATGATATGGCAGAAAGCTTTGTTGGCCTTAATAAAGCATCACTTTTAGTTAAAAAAAACTAAGCACATTTTTTTTTCTTAAATAAAAATCCATTAATTAACATTATATAGACGTGTAATCAGAGTGGTACCATATAACATAGTGTTGTATTGTCTCTGAACACAATTATTGAAAATTACGAAATCAGTTTGAAAGTGGCACACTACTGTTTCTTGTTACGTACATAATGTACAGTTATTTTACAGTTAACGGAGTAGAAAGGAAGTATTTAGGGATGTCACGCCATGTTTACAGTGTTATAAAAGTAATTTTCTACAATATTTTTGAGGTTCAAAACTTTTTGTATTCATATTTTATGGTTACCATGACTAAAACGTCGAATATATTAAATAAGATATATTTAGGAGGATATAACAACGTTTTTATTAATAAAATGTTGAGGGAATGAGTATTTTTGTGTAAGAAAATGACAAATGTAAACTTTTAAAGTTAAATTAGGTTAAAAAAGTTCTAAGCAATATCCGCAATGCAGGAATGTGTAAAAGCTTTACTAATTTTTTTAGTAACGTTTGAATTAATACATTTTATAGCAATTGAAACGAAATCATACATTTTTTAAGAATAAATTTTATCCTTTCTCCGAAATTATTATTTCAACGAGAAGGGTGTTGAAAGAAAAAGATGGCGGATATACCATGACATTACTACATTGCTCCAATTAAATATATAGAACAATACCTTCGTTGTCGGCGGATCTTCGACATTCCAATCAGTCTCCATTTTCGCTATTTCACTAAACACATTAATTATCTTACACAAATGTCACTACGAAAACGGCACGACTTTGCTAAAATAAATTCATCGTTCTCATGACGTCAAGCACTATTATTTTCTTTCAAAAAGCTGAGAAACCTATTGGCAATAGATACGCGTCCTTTTACCAACCTTTTACCGAATGACAGATAATGTTGAGATGTTCGGATACTCAAATTAGCAAATATTCAATTTAAAACGTTTTGTCTCCATTTTAGAACACATTTGTAAAACGTATTTCATTTATTCACTATGTTTTAGTGATGACATGTTATTTGTACTTTCCCAAATAAAAATCTATTAAAAATTTTTGAAAACACTTCACGCAAATACTAAGATCAAATTATCCGATCAAAAAAAATTATTTCTGCATGGCAACTTTGACATCATATTTGTCAAATTGACAATTGTCCTATCACTTCCTCATCTTTTCGTACCTATTTTAATTAATTCTTTGATGAAATGTGTAATTTAAAGTTCAATAATATTGTAATCATTTAATGCAACAATCTTGAAACTGTGTCTTTACGAAAATGTGCCATTGCAAAGATGAATTAACGGTAGTTAATATATATCTATATATGTTACCTTTTTTATTAGTATCTATGTTTTGAAGTGGTTTCATCAAAAACAAACAATCGATAATAGTGTTAATGATTTTTTCTTAGCCTTTTCTCAGGTAAGGACTTTTTGGGAAATTTTATAAACATTACATTATTATTCGGGAGCATTTAAAATTTATGATTGTTGAAAGGCATTCGGCCAAAACGAATCGCCTTTGTCTACACTGTATTGCAAAAAATCCCTGGGATTTTATAACAATGTGGAATAAAAAATAACAAGACTAAAAATTGTCTTTCAAACACAATAGTTTATGTTGTATCCATCATATTGTTACATTTAATATATTATTTATTTGATCTTATTATTAGAGTTATTCCTCCACACATGACTAGTAAATTGTTAAGTCACGTTGAGTGTTGTATCACTTACGAGATATCTGCCTTCACATAAGATCATATAATCTCACTAATATAATATTATAAATGTTAATGTTCAGATGGATGTTTGTTAGATGGTATATCCTTAACGCCTTAACCAATCTTGATGAAATTTGTCATACATATAGAACATAGTCAGGAAAAACACATAGGCTACTAATTATGTTTTTTTTTATTATGCGCAGACAGAGTTGCGGGTAACAGCTTGTATTATAAATGAGAATGTTGTTTGTTGAGGGATGAATGTTAGAAGGTATCTCTAGAATGATTCAATGTCTCACAATAAAATTTGGTATAGATGAAGAACATAGTCTGGAAGAAGACATAGACTACGATATTTATTTTAATTGCTAGTTAATTAACACTAATATTTTTTTTTCATAAAATTTAAAAAATATCTTTTTCATATATTTACATACATTTTAAGAAATTAAATAGAGATATGATTATTTTATTTACGATTTTTATGATAGTCCCATTGGAGTATTTCAGTGTTAATCACGGGTGACTGACAAGGCGGGTCAATATATCTATACATATAAAGGAAAGTTGTGTTACACTATTTATAACTCAAGAACGGCTTTACCAATATGCCTGAAAATTAGTGAGGAGGTAGCTTAGAGCCAGGAGACGGACATAGGATACTATTTATTCATTTTTTTTTCGAATTTATGCCTTGAGCTGCTTATTATTTAACTTATCTATATATTTAGTTTTTTTTATATATCCACGCGGAAGGAGTCTTTTTTTCTGGCATTAAATAATCAATTGTTTTACTATTATGATTAATATTTCAGTAAACTATACAATGTTGGGGGATGAAGTTGAGAAGAGACACGACCCGCCCGGTGTCAACTCTCGCTCTCTGAGTGTAGCTCATACTGCTGCGGACCTTGAGGTACTAATTTAATATAAAATAGCACAAACTATTCATTATCAGCTACATCCATCCCCACTGAGAGGCTAAGAGTCTACCCTAAGTTGGGGGTGACTAGGCCGTAGTCAACCATTCTAGCCCAATGCGGGTTATTTGACTTCAAACATATCTTTGAATTTCTTCTTACATACGACAATGACGTGACTTATCCAAAGTTATTGTCAGTTCTGTACATTTTTGAAGTTCGTTATGGAATGGAGAGGATGCAAAGAAAGAAAACATTCTCCCTTCCCATGCATCCTCTCATCCGGAAAGTCCACCTCCACTTCACATCCCTTCCTTTAAGAAAAAGGGTGGGAAGGGAAAGAGGACTATACTAGGCCTCCGGGACGCACACTCATCAGACGAAACGCGGAATTGCTTCCACTTGACGCCTGTCTTCTGTGTAGTCGTGGTATTTCACCGGGCGAGTCGGGACGATTCGTGCGAACATGTTAAAGCTCGCTCTACCACTGTTTTATATAAGTTTATGATAATTTCTCACTAAAGTCTGAATAATTTAGAAAGAAAACATAATTATTTCAGGTGCTACGTGAAATAGAGAATGTCTACTTCTCATCACCTTCAGAGTTTGATGCAGCGCGATATGTGCTGTCACACGCGCCGTCACCACCCACGTGCGAGGCTGTTGAACTTATGTTCACCAAGTTGAAGCGACAACAACAGGTTAGTAATACAATCCTGCTCGAAGGACCAAAAAGTTGGTCCTTCGATATCCGACTTATAAAAATGGTTTGGGATCACTTTAAGAAAGCGAATAGTTGTTTGTTTGAACTGTTATTCTATCATTACACAGGTCGGCACAGTATGTACTTCTCCATACATCTCTATCAGCCGTCATATTTGAATCTACCCCCTTCTTACGCATATCCTCCTATGCTATCCTTAATAAATTACAATATTTTTAAACACACATGTTAGGAATAAGATCTTAAAGTGCTCAAAGGACCATAATTCGTAATAACAAATGGTCCTTCGATAATATAAAATAAAAATAGCGAAGTTACCCATAGACATACGCAATTGCATATGCGTTACCTAACTTTAATCAACGGCGGAGAGGATGCACAGAAAGAAAATATATCCCATATTACATCCTCTCATCCGGAAAGTCAACTTACACTTCCCATCCTTTTCTTACAAGAAAAAGAAAGGGAAAGAGGACTAAATTAGACCTCCGGGATGCACACTGATCAGCGTGTAGTTGGAATTACTTTCACTTGAGGTGTGTCTTGTGTGTGGTCGTGGTATATCACCGGGCGAGACGGGACAATTCGTGCGAACATGTTAAAGCTCGCTCTACCACTGTTAAAATTAATATTATAAATATCTGATTTCCACAGGTAGTTTCTGGTAAAGCTCTACATTTAATATCACAACAAAGAGATAATTGTGACAGAGAATTTGCTGAAATTCAAAACATAAGGCAACAGTTAACCGTAACATTAGAAATATGTCGTAAAGCGAGAGAAAATTTATCAATAGCATCGAATAATCTTACTATATCAACATTTATAATATTAGCTAATGTTAGAAAGAGGCAAATTATAAAAACAGTGTTAAAATCTTTGGATTTATTGCAAAATTTAAAATGTGTGGAGAAAAATGTTGAAGATTTATTAAATAAAAATGAATATTATTCAGCAATAGAATTGATAATTAAAAGTCGTAAAGCAGCTTCAAATCATAAAGAATTTACATGTATTAAAGATTTATATATCAGATTAAATGATACTTTATATATGACTGAAGAGAAATTAGATGCAATATTAGCTAATATATGTTATAATTTTGATGATAATATATTTATTAAATTAAAAAAAGCATACGACCTTTTAGGTAAAACACAAGCTGCAATGGAACAGTTGCATATGCATTACTCATCGGCTGTTAATGAAACATCCATAAAATCATTTGAACATTATATAAATGATGGTAATTTAAAATTTCAAGATATATGTAAACATATAAATCCAAATAAAGCACCTTATTGTTTGTTAAATTTATGCGAGAATTTATTTAAGATTATGCGAAGTTATTATTTATTAGTCGATTGGCATAATAAATACGATATAGATGATAAATCAAGTAATGTGTTTGATATTGAAAAGAATGTAAGCAAAGAATATATAAGGCAGAAATTAAAAGGTGGATTAATAAGAATATGGCATGACGTACAAGCTAAAGTGTCGACATTTTTAAAAAACACCCCCCTAGAAGATTATCCGTTTGAAAAATTTATACAAATCTTAGGTGTATTAAGAAAATTAACACAAATCGCTGAAATATTTTGCGGTGATAAATCTGATATATTAAAAGATTTTATAAAAACACAAAGCGTTATATATATAAAAAATTATCATAAAGGTAGAATGGATGAATTGAAATTATTCTTAGAGAACGAAGGATGGGAACAATGTCCTGTTAAATCGACATTTAATATATTAAATCTACAAGAATTTAAACAATTCAAAAAGTATATAAATCCTAAATTAGATAAATATATAAATAAAACGGGAACACAGTCGGATGCAACATCATCTGTACATTCACAAGACGATAGTATATATATTTCAAAATATTTCAAAAATAAAACAAAGGATACACCTTTCGATATATTTCGTGATGATAATATCACTAACGATGATATATTCGGTATTGAAACTGAATTAGAACAGAGTGATTCAGATGATGAACCCGATGAATTAAAAAGTGATTACATTGATGATGATAAAGAGATATATGATAAAATAACAAATTGTAAAGATAATATCATTGTAACTAATACAACGTTAGCTGTATTAAGAAATTGTGGACAATATTTACAAATATGTAGATATTTACCTCAAATATCATTAGATGTGATTATGTTAATGTACCAATTATTTGATTATTATATGTATACTGTACATTTATTTTTTACATCAGATTTAGAAGTAGCTTCCTCAACTCTGTATACACCAAAATTAACATCTACTCTTAAACGTATAACAAATAATATAAATACAGAACAAGATGAAAATAAATACATTTTATCACCGGAATTACCACAACATTTGGATATGAATACAGAATCAACATTACATGGGTTAAGTGAAAGAATTGTTGCCGTTGAAAGTGTCATATTTTTAGCTAAACAATATGAATGTTTACATTCTTATTTAAATATATTAGTAATACAACATCAGAGAATGATTCTAGAACATTTTAAAGATAATAATTTAGCCGTTGCTGTAGATTTACGTATGCCAGTTTATATGTGTTCAGCGGCTAAAGCTGTTGATGCACGGACATCTTTAATAGCAATGTCTCAAGTTAAATGGGATGTTAAAAACGTAGCAGTGGAACACAGCCCTTACGTTGATATGATTGTTAGGAATATCCAAGTATTCGCGTTACGTTTAGAAAATATTTCAAATAAAGTTTCTTTAAATCGTGATGTACTAAATGCTATATGGAGTATGGTTTCGAAATTTATAGTACATTTATTAGTTGAAGGTTTTTCTAATGCTACAAAATGTACGAATGGTGGTAGAGGTCTTATGCAATTGGATTATAGACAGTTGTTTGTTAAATTAGAGAAAATATCAGGTTTAAAGCCGATACCTTATCAGGATTATGTAGATAGATATGTAAAAGCTTATTACTTACCGAGGAAAGGTCTTGAAGAGTTTATACAAGAGAGATTAGAGTATTCTAATAAACATTTATTAACGTTAGTTACTTGCGCGTGCGAGAACAAACGAGATAGACAAGCTTTGACAGCTCTTATAGAAGGAAGAGAACTATCTTAATAACACTGCACTTATTAATAAATTAAATTAAAGAAATTATCTATATATTTTTTCCTTATTTCATTATACTTTTAAAAACAACAATTAACTTTTAAATCTGAAGACGTAATAAAATTCCCGCTCTTTTATATGTCAAGTGTTTGAAAATTTTGCATAGATTATAGATAGAATAGTTTTTATGATCTTTGATTTAAAAAATCATGCATTATAATGTATTGCTTTAAATTGAATTTAATTATAATTGAACTGATATATAAACACGGCTAAACACTGACGTATATTCGTCCGGTGGCGGCACCGACTAGTTTCGAGCCCATCGAAAGCGTCGGTGGTGTTGTTGTTGAAGTTTTAAACTAGTCGGTGCCGCCACCGAACGAATATACGTGAGTGTTTAGACGTGTTTATATATCAGTTTAGTATAATGTCTCACGAAAGTTTGAATAATTTAATTATAATTGATAAATTATTAATCTAAAAGCCCAATTATTCGATTAACAAAAAATCGATTTTTTTATAATCTCAAAATTGGTGTTAGAATCTTGCGTATATAAGTTAAATATTTAAAAATGCTTATGTGATTATTATATTAGCACAAAAAATAATTGGTTAATAAATTCTTAAAATAATTCAAGAGATTAGTAGACTATTGCTTTGTAAAATAAAAATGTAATAGGGGGCGTCCTAGGCTACGCGGTAAGACGGAGCTGGTGTGAGGGCCGGTCTAATCTGAATCTGTGGTCGTTATCAATGTCGTCAAGTATTGGTATGTTGAAATGAAAATAATCTCAAATAATAAAGACATTAGATTAAGTATATTTGATTTTGTTTTAAATATATTTGAATGTGTATAAGCTTGTTTTATTTATATAAACACCATATCTCTTCCTTATTTCAGCACTCTTGACTACGCCTTGTTCCAGTTCGATATGTTAACCATAGACTATAACGTCTTTGCTAGAGCTCGCATAAAAAATAATTTAGTTGATGAAAGTCAAGAAAAGAAGCGTCTGTGGCTCAGTAGTCAAGCACTTGACTTGCAATCTGCAAGTCCTGGGTTCGAATCCCGCCATGTACCAATGTGTGTTTCGATATCGAGTTACATATGTACATTTATTCGACGTTATGATGAAGGAAAACATCGGGATGCTGCACATATCTGTGAAGTAGTACACTTAGTCAGCGTGGTTGACTATGGCCTAATCACCCTCAACTTAGTGTAGGCTCCGAGCCCCTCGGTGAAGAGAAGAAAAAGTTTCATAATGGCTGCCATGATATTTGACGTCTGCTGACGACTGTCTGTTTGATTTTTTTTTTGTTTTTAAATTGCTTCATTCATCTATAATTTTAGTAAAATATTGCTTTCACATTCAATCTAGGTAAGTAATCGATATATTTAACGAATTCTTCGTATTCACAACAGAAACTGTGTGTTCCGTCATTCGGCCGCCATTTTAACCATGAATAGTTTCGGTTGTCATCGCAAATGTCATTGCAAAACGTCAACTTGTCAATCATAGTGTTGTTGTAGTATGACGAATTTATCGATATAAATGCAACCGCTGTTTTCTTTTTAGGATCGTAAATCAACTGAAATAAAAATAATTAATAAACATTACATCCGAAATAATGGGTCATTAGTCTCTGAATGGTCAGTGAATTTTAGTAAACACTCTAGTAGTTTTAGTTTCTTAGTTATATAGTAGTTGTCGCCCGCGGCTCCGTTTGTGCGGAATTAAAAAAAAACTTAATTAGTGGCCTATGTGATCTTCCAGACTGTGTTCTATATTTCTGCCCAATTTGAGCCGTTCCGGAGATACAATCAAACAAACATCCATCCATCTAAACATTAGGAATTATACTATTAGTAAGATAAAAGAACAATTTTTCTTCTTTAGAATATTAATTAGAGATTAATTTTGGTTTTTAAACCCTATGCACCTTTATGTTTTTGTAGTCATTAACCTATTGACCGTTCTTTCATCATCACCATGGATATGGATGGATAGATGAAGAACACCAACTTACCTTATAGAAATACATCGGTACAGGTATAATTCTATTATTATTACTATCAACATGTAGAAACAATTCTTGCAGGTGACCATCTTTGTCAGCTAACGTAGCGACATTATGCGTCCCCGTGTACACTTGTACACCAGTTTCATATGACGAAATGCGACGACGAAGAGCCTTGTCAAGCAAAAAATGACTAGTTAGATTTTAATTTAAAAAAAATGAAACTGCGTAACAAGTACTACGTGTCGAATAAAAAATACAATAATATCGGTGATTCAGCTGCAAATTAATAGCATAGCAGTTTTGAATTTGCCTAATACAAATACTGATCAGTTCAATTTGGTTCCATTCTATTATATACTTGCTGTCCCCGCGATGCCATTAGCGCAGAAGTATAGAAAAAAAACTAAATTTGTAGCATGTAGTCTTCCAGAATATGTTCTGCATCTATGCCAAATTTTATCAAAATCCGTTGACCCGTTCTGGAGATACCTTCTAACAAATATCCATCCAACCAATCGCATTTATAATAGTAAGATAGTAAGATTTTGTCTGAATATATTAAGAATCTTACGTCTTCTAAGGCAGCCCAGTCTCCCGCGTTCCCTCGCATCCATTGCGGTGCCGCGTTGATATAATGAAAAGAAGCTTTTTGTGTCGCACGCATCACGAAGTCTGCTCTTGCTGCTAAGTGACCGCGGTTAAGAAACTGAAATAGTTTTGACAGGGGTAGAGTCACACATGCCATGCTTATAGCAGAACACCGAAATTATTTATATGCGGGACCCAGCAGCCGGCAACGACAGTGACAAATTAATCCAGCAAAAGTAATGATGTCTGCCGTTGCAGCACTTACCATGACATGCTGCTCCCGCTCGCCATCAGCTGCGTCCTGGACATTCGCTTCTTAAGCATTACTTTAAAAATGATAAAAAAGTCGCCCTTATCTTACCTGTGTCCTCGTAATATACTGTTGATCCATATTATCTCCTAGGATTTGATTCAAACGAGACTTCTGGTTCTGCACCGCGTAAACTTTTGACATTTGAACTTTGTCGAACACGCCGCCCTCTGTAGCAACAATTTAATACATCCTCACTAATCATAAATATTATTTGATCCTGGGTTTTCTATTTCAAAACATACGAATGAAAAGATATTGCTTTCTCAACTTTTTCAAAGAGAATAAAAGGGATAGCAATATGAGTTTCGCCGTAGGATTTATCGAGATTCTTACCAATGAAGTTAGGTCTACTAGAAGAGTTCTGCATAAAGTTACTCCACGGCCTGAGTTCGTGATGTACGTACAACGTCGACAGGAGCTGACGGGAGAAACACGCCGTGTACAGCGTGTGGAAGACATTACGGATGTAGTAACCTACCCTACAACAAATGATGTAAGCTTAAATCTGGTTAAGATAGTCTAAGAGCCCACTATATTCTCGCTATTTAGAGGTTTCATAGACTGAGCTACCATAATTTAGTTTGACTTATGTCCACCAGGACTGATATCCTTGTCCTAAATATCAGTTTTCCTCAAACAACTTGAGTTGATAAATACCGGTAAAGTTTATGTCGACCAGCGCAGCTTTCAGAAGTCTCCTCAGCTGAGAACCACGGCAGTGAAGTGCATTTAATATCTTTGAATTGTCCTATCCAGCGTCCAGACCGGAACACATTGTCGTGGAGACAATGCACCTCCTAAAACATATTCTACATTTCAACAAAGAATTAAATTCGCTTGCCATTTAAAAATATTATAGCAATCTCTATGAATGTATTTTTAAGGTGTGATTTCATAAAAATGATGATTACTTTTTTCATCGATATTATTATCATGTTACTAATAGGAAATATGCACATCACTAGCTTTATAATTTGAGATAATCTGGGTCTTTTAGATGCTTTAGTAACGACTCTACTTATCTTAATTACTAATAATTAGTAAAAGAGAACATTAAAAACTTAACTACATGACATTCCGCAAACAAAAATATATTCTTAGTATTAAATAAAATAAAACAACATACTATAGCATTGAAATTAGTTGTTTCATTGCCTAAAACAACAAACTTCTTGTTGCCGGGACATCCGACGAGCACAATATCCGAACGCGACAGCGAAATGGCGCCCGTCGGTGTATTTGGAGTCAAATATGTTCCATTTTTAATATAAACAGGCGATGGCTCACCAAAATCTGTGTTTAGAATGAGAGTACAATCTGAAAAAAATTAAGATTTAATGTGCTAATTACATCAACAAACATTATTTTGTATTCTAGACTTCACAAAAGAAAATATTTTGAAGAGCCACCTACCGGATTATAACTAAATAAAAAGGACCCGCTCAAATTCGAATAAAAAAACAAAGACGAGACTTAAAAATAAACTCTGCAAGAGTCTCCGAGGGAGTCGCCCTTTTGTAATTAAAACTAAACCAATGTAATTAAAGTTAAAAAAATCTTAGATTTTATTATTGAAATAATAATTGGTATAACATCTAATAATTAATACTGACTAACGTTGTATAAAAACCTAACGTTATAAAACAAGTGACTTCCGGATCTAAAAGAAAAAAACAAAAAGACACAAGTATCTTACTCTTACTGCCACGACCACTGACGTAATTAATGAATATTAAATAGATTAACAAAAAACATAATGCACAGCACGACTTCATCTTTAATGTCGTAATGTAGACAAAAAAAAACTAAGACAGGATGTAATGATTACGTATGTTTACATTTGCTCTCTTTGTCTTTTTCAAAGAGAACGACAAGGATGGCGATATTGTAGCATTAAACAACAGTGGAGATAGCGCGTAAACTATTACAATGTTGGCATATTGTCTTTTGTCGTACAATCTCGTAGATGAGTCAATTGACGTGAATTATTAATAGTAGGTTATTGCGAGAATATATTGTCTTGGTTATATTTTAATAATTATATGTAATTTAATAATTAAAATACATTTTATGGATATTTAGTATCATTTAATAGGAGGAGATTTGGTTTTCGTAACTCCACTGAATCGATAAATAACAAAGTAACCTTTTTATTATAATAATAATCTTGCGTAATAAATTTATGACAATAACAATGAATTAATTTATTGTCTCTATTAAAAATTAAATGTACTAATCAAATGCATAAATTAACGCAGAATTAACATTATGAACCCAAGCTTTAAGAGATTTCTGCTAAAAACACAATAAAAAAGACAAAACACTTCTGTTAGTGAATGTACCTCATAACTTGTCACTTTGTAACAATGTGTAAACAAAAGATTAGGTTAATTAGTGAGTAAAAAATGTAAACATTCAAAAATGCAATGACTTTCTCTAATGTTATCTTTGGAAAAATGCCAAATATGTTTTGGTATCAAATTTTTCCGCAATGGAAATTCACGGTAAAGATATTTTCAAGGATTTTTTTTATAACTTTGAATAACGCAAGCAAATTATTAAGTTATCAACTTTAATTGTAAACTGTTGGATCTTACTAACTTTATAAATGCGAATGTTTCGATGGATTTTTGTTTGAAAATATCTCCAGAACGGCTGAATGGATCTCGATGAAATCTGGTATAAATATAGAACATAATTTGTAAGAACATTTAGGCTGTTAATTTTGTTTTTAATGCGGACGGAGACGCGGGCGACAGCTAGTCTATAACTACTTAACAAGGCTACATAAATCTTCGAAACGCAACTTTGTGAGTTTCGATGATTTAGATTCCCTTGTATACAAACAAGGGCCTTATTATGGATTTATTGGTGACGATTTCTTTACAGGATCAATGGATGTCCTGTAGGAAATCATCCTCACCCCTAGAAAACCCCTTTTTACAAAGTCTAGGTCATAGATTATGTGGAGGGGACGGCGCGTACGCAGTCCCCACTAACAAAAATTACGCGTCCGAGTTATCCGCATTAGGGATAATCGCAGGGGTCAACCCAACCGCAGTGCAATGGAGGGGCCTCGCCCTGGGGGAACCGCCTTCGTGATCACGGTAGCCCCTACGCCAGGTAAGTATGATTTCACCAACGCGGCCGGCGAAGGTCATTCCCACAGCGGGATTTTCTATATCACGCTTTACGTTTTAGTTGAAATATACAGCGACATCTAGTATTAAGTTCAGTTGTAAAAATTTGAAATTTGTATCATTGTGCTTTAAATAATTGTCAATAGATGGCATTGTTATCAATAGTTTTATTCTTTAAGTTAAATTATTTTCTTTTAATACTTCTGACAGAGAAAACCCACCCACCCATCCATCCACATGACATCCATCTAAACATTTGCATTTATAATATTAGTAAGTTAAATAAAAAGCAGCTCTTCAAATTAATAAATATCTCACCAATTTTCAGGCATATCAGTAAAGCCGTTCTTGAGTTATAGATAGTGTAACTAACACCACTTTCTTTTATATATAAGTTACTACTCTTTTTAAAACATACTCTGTTTTTGTCAAAAACAATGATAACGAAGAACATCCAAATAACAATATTACTACATACAGATTTCAGTCTCGGAAACCAATGATAAATATATCTTAGAGTAACTACAGTAAGTACAATAAAAAAACAAATGTAGTTGATAAATTTATTTAACCGGTAATAAATCTCCCCAATTACTTGACCTAGCACATCTATAAGTTGTAGTATCAAATTTTCCTTTTGAAAAGATAATCTCCTTCAACTCCCCTTGTGACGTACATAACCTACAAACGGTATGTCTCGAACGGACTATCGGAGCTCTTACAATCCTCGGCCATTGTGGGTCATCTGTTGGACGTTCACCTTTCCTTATTATTATATATGTATACAAATCTGCTTGGATTTCAACTTTCGATGGGAATTTTAAAGTTTCATACTTCATTAGAAAGTTACATGGCGTTTCATGTTCTAGATATCTAGGGCACACGCTGTCGTTCGGACAAGGTGCGAATGCATAACCTTTTTGTTCATTATTACTGTTTAACACAAACTCTCTAGCTTCGTTGACAATTTTAAAACCAGCGTTAGTACCCTGTTCAACAATAATTAGGAAGTCTTCAGTTTTATTCCATAATTTCTGTATCGTTTCTAATCTTGTCTTCATATTTGGCATTTCGAATAAGGAAAATGCTGATAATACTATATTGTACTTCAAATCTGTGGATGCGGGAAGAAATTGTCTTTGAAAATATGCTTTAAATGGTAGAGGTACATTATCTTTACCTTCACATAGTATTAAACGGGATAAATCATTCATATGTACGGAAGTATCAACACAAAAGTATTCGAAAATATGTTCCTTCCAATATGTGTTTATTGCCCAAGTACCAGTTCCTACACCGGAACCAAAATCAAAGAAACTTCTCGGCTTGTAATTAGGTATTTTTCTGTGTATTTCATCAAATATACGTACTAGGATAGCATATTCTGGAGCAGCTCTGGCTATAAGATATTGTAAAGAGGTAGGTTTATCGTAAGAAATATTTGCCCAACTGTACACATTTTTCTTTAAAACGTTAAATACTGAGGTTTGTATTTTCTTTTCACATGTATCAATCTCTTCTTGAGATAATTCAGATCTATCTTTTGACAATTGTGAGTAAAATTTATGTGACATGGTTTTGTAAATGTTTGCCGCTTTTTCGTTGATTTCTCCCTCTTCGGGAGGTAATTTCCTTGATCGAAGATAGTTGTAAAGATCCTCACTTTCTTGTATCAGAGACTTAGCACCCGTGTCTCCTAATATTACTTTGATACCTTTCTGAATGTCGGGCGGTATTGTGGCGATTTTAACTTTGGTTCGTCCAGGATGATCGCGTGGTTTATATTCTTGAGATTCAAAATTGTCTCGTAGTCTAGCATCGATTTCGACTTTTGTAGAAAAATTTGCGTATACAGAATAATAATATGATAATTTAATTTTTCTTAACATTGTTTTTGTTTATTATAATTCTAACCTAAAAAAAATCGTCTTAATTTTGACACTGACGTTAACGATTCAATGGTTGCCATTGTCGAACTTCTTACTAATTTACAAATGGCAATAAATGAAGCACGTTTTTTTGCTTTTACAGATTCATTTATTTGTGCATTACCAAAAAATAAATAAGATTTTTAGAAAATTATCATGATAAGATTGAGTTTTTTTTTTATTCCTTTGTAACTTTGTAACAAAAAAAACATTTGTTAAAAGAGTATAGGACAAAATGAAATAACTTATAAAACATGTTATATGTATTAAATCTAAAATAACATAAATTAAATAATTTTATTGCCTAAAATCTTCAACTATCATTTCTTTTGTTTATATTCTTGTGTTTTTCAATGCAGCTTCTGAAATCGTTTACTTCTGTCTGACATTTCCTCCAATCTTTTGTAGTGGCAATACATTCCTGCACAATAAAAAAAAACAATAAACCAACTATACCAATGTTTTCTATTATGTTAGAAAATAGATAAAAATATTTAGCAACACTTGAAAAAGGCTCCGTACCCAACAACCATAGAACTAGATTTTGTTGATCAGAGCCTGTAACTTGCAAAGTATATTTGAAACATCAGTAAACACTTTTTTGACAAGGAAATATATGAATTTGAAATGAGACAGGGGAGGTTTTCATTTATTATCACTGCCATTTGCTTTTACAACAAAGATGTGTTTAGTAAAATAAATTAATAAGTATTATTGTTATGTCACACAATTTAACCTACTATTATAATAGTTATGAAATAAAATGTAAACAAACTTACTTGAACTTTATAATGCAATTCTAAGCAGCCACTTTTTCTAAGCATAGCCTCAACAGGATCATCATCTCCTTCCGATACTTTTTCTCGAGGTTTTACGGTCATTATGTATTTAATTTATTTATCAAATAAATCATTAACAATTTTATTTTACTACAACTTTAAGGTTAATTTCAAACTTTTCAACTGTCAATGTCAATTGCATTGACGTTTAAAGAATAAAAACGACAGATATACAAAATATGGTGGCAATGGCTATTCTAAAAAATATTGAAAAAAATATTTTAGTGAAATAGGTAAATAAATAATACAACAGACACAAGGAATATTTTATATTTTTGGCGAACAGCTCGGCAGAACTCAGTAATAAAAGACTGACTTTTATGCCACCGTATAGGGAAAAGTGGAAATAAGTAAAAAATTTACAATTTATTTCTGGATAAGTTTAAAACATGTAAAAGCATTATAAAGATATTTTATTAAGTATTCGTGATTATATTCATACAAGAAATATCTTGAACAAGTTTCGCGCAGCGTAATATCTATGACCAATTTTATTTTTTTTCATATTTTGTTATAGTCGTGAAAAAATTATAAATCAATTTCACAAACTAATGCAACATGCTACGAATAATACTTATAACATCCATAAAACCTTCAAGGATTTACGAAACGACTTTATAATTTCAGTATGGTTCTTTTAAAATTCACCATTTAATTTGATGAAATTCATACTGGCAGCTATCACATAGTAATATTATTATGAAGTATTATGTCTTCTGATATACTTTTTTACTTATCTACATCTTTTTTTGGTTTTACTTTACGATTTCTTTTCTTCGTCTTTTTTGTGTCTTGTGTTATATCATACTTATATAATACGTCTCCGTTCTCCGGATTAGTTATTTTAACCATAAAATTTTCATTCTCCTCGTTAATATTACATTTTTCGTCTAAATCTTTAATTGTTTTCTCCATGATAGCTATTTGTCTTTTAAAATAACGTACTTGTTCTTTTAAACGTCGTACATTCAAATCTTTTCGATCGACACTTTCTTTTAATTCAGAGATACGGTCGCAAAGTCTTTTAACGTTGTACGAAGTTATTTCTTTGTATAATTCTTCGTAATCTATTTGTGCTTCTGTCACCGGTTCTGGAGAATCTCTTTCTTTCAATGGCAACATTATTGATATTGGCTCTTGCGCAGACGCATTGCGCGCCATTGACGAAGCTTTTAAATGTTGATCTGATTCGAATTCATTTATTAATGAATCGAATGTCTGAAAAGGAATTAAGAAATATAATAATGAACAGATGAACTCGCATAAAAACAACATTTCTATTTAAAAACCAACTTTTTGTTCTGTACTCTTTGGTCAAAGGTCAACTTAACAAAGGGAAACTTTTTTTTATATATTAATTGAAAACGATGTCTTACAATAACTGGCAAGTTTAAAGTAGGTATTGCATTATCCAGTAAGCGTCGTCGAGGTTTTATAGAATGGTAGCAATCTTCTGTGAAATGTCGGGAACAGATAACGCTAAAGTTTGATGGACGCCAATTATCCCGTTTTGTGGCTTCAATCCATTTCTTTTTTATAGCTTTGTCTTTTGGGAATCTATAAAAAAAACAACATTAAATTTTAATTAAAAATAAAATTAAAAAGTCTACTGGACCAATGTATGCTGACGAAGGCTTTTAACATCGGGGAAGCTCGAGCCGCTCGGTTGAGACATGAACAGAAACGAAGTCGAAAAATGAAATAGACCCTAGTTTATTTAAATGAATTTATTGCTTTTAATAGGAAAAGGCCAACAAATAACAATGCTAAGTACACCATAACAAATTAAATTAATGAAAAGGAATAAATTTTTTAACTTTTTATGGGTGAAGAGTGAAAACCCTGGTATAATACGACTTTTATAAAACTAAGATTAATCGACACACAGGATCCTTAGATATGATGAATAATTTAATAATTTATGAATGAAAATATATGAAATAAGACCAGGTGACCGAGCACTCATTTTGTCCTCTATTCTGCGATGTTTTCATAATGTCTATGGTTAGATGAAGGAAAGAAAAGGATAGGTGTATATGAACTTTACACGTGTGTAAGCGAGATACAATCACAACAAAAAAACATAGGTTATAGTCTATGGACATCACAAAACAACCAGCATAAATTGAGCCAAGATGAAACTGTATTAAATTAATTTATCTTGATAGAACTTACCTATGGAAGGTGACTTCGTCAGTTTTTGTACATGAAAATCTACTGTTTTTCCCACACCATAATATAGCACACGACGACATTGTAAAATAATTATAATATCGATATTTAAAGCATGTTTTCGTCGCAAACACGTACGAACGGATCAATTTTCTGACTAGTACTGTTTTGGCGCCCTTCGGATCGATACAAATCGGTGCATACGTACTAAATAGTGCTCTGAATAATGACGTCTACGTCTAGTTTTCATATTACTCGAATTAATTTGTTTACTTATGGTGTTTAGTAATTATTATGAAGCGTAATTACGAATCTTCTATTATAAATGCGAATGTTTAGATGAATGGCTGTTTGTTAAGTATTTCCAAAACGGCACAACGGATCTTGACGAAAAATGCCGTATAATTTTAGACAGTATTGGTTATAACCATTTGGCGCGAATGATGTGCGTGTTACTAAGTCCAGTGTCAGATTGAATAGTGAGGGAAACCAAACGTCAACATTTTAGTAATATTAGTGTTGTGTCTATACACTGGCACATTTTCGGATTTTCTTCATAATCATATATATAAAATGCTCGTGTCCCAATTTTCGTTCCCATACTCCTCCGAAACGGCTTAACCGATTCTCATGAAATTTTGTGAGCATATTGAGTAGGTCTGAGAATAGGCCAACTTCTATTTTATTCTCGCGCGAATACAGTCGCGGGCGATAACTATAGGAATCTACTGTTTAATCAAAATTTCTTAGTCAAAGTTTTAATAATTTTATTTTTCATAAATTAAACATTTATTTTTTCTTATAAAATTAAAATCTAATATGTATTACGCTAAGATCTTGCTCTTGTTGTGGAGCGCGATGTACGCGACGAGTACTGAGAGAGCGGTGGCAAGGACTTCAGAGTTGACCCATGGTCCGGAGTAACCTGGTGACAAAGAAAAAATATCATTTTCCATCTTACTAATATTATAAATGCGAATGTTCGGATGAATGTTTGTTAGAAGCTCTCTGTAGAACTGTTGCATGGATCTCGCTTAAATTTGGCATAGATGTAGAACAGTGTCTGGTAGAACACATATACTAATTAAGTTCATTTAATTCTGCAAGGTGTCCCGGGCGACAGCTTGTCTATATAAATTAATAAAAATAGCTAATAGTAATATATAAAGGCTTTTTTTAAGTAAACAACCACTAGAATTTGCTGAAACAACAAAGGAACCGCTGCCCTCGGGGAAGGGGCAAAGAAAGAGAATATTTCCCCTTCCTATGTGTCACCTGCTCTACTTCTCCTTCTCACTTCCTTATAAGAAAAGGTTTGGAAGGGAATTTGTACTAAAATTAGGCCTTTGATAGGAAACCTACAGATAGAGTAACCTAATAACAGGGATACTCACTGCCAGGGTGGTGTAACTGTATAGCCAGTAGAGGTGCGACAGTTGCTGCAGGGTCCGCACGGCGAGCACGGCGGAGTGATGCCCAACCTTCCTCATCAAGTACTCTCACTTCATGCATGCCGGAGCGAGCTGTAGCTGGTTCTTCTGTCCATGACACCTGTTAATAAAATTAAATTGTCAATTAAACATGAACAAAAAGAAATGGAATAGTAATATAACCTGGTCAAGAGAGACTGAAAAACTGAATTTGCCGAAGTAGTGTAGCAATAGCTGCACATAGACATTTCTTATTGCAGATGCATTGCCAACAGTTCATCGACAGAGGAGGAGATGCTCAGAGAGGATATTTCCCCTACCTACGGGGTCTCTCCTTAAATCCTTCTTTCATATAATGGTAGAAGATTGAAGTATGTATGAATGAAAGAAGGGAGTAAATTCAGATATGATGGCTGATAGAGAGATATTGAAGATTACACACTGTGCTGACATGTAGGGAAAAGGGCAAACTGATTAGAGACATCTTTATTAAGGTTGTCAACATCTAATCAACAAAAATGTATGGTTGAAAAATAATGGAAAAAAGGTAGCAACCCTATTTGCTAGCTTGCATAATGATCCGAAATTTCATTTTTTTTTTGTATTATTATAGCCTTTCTATTGGATACAGTAATACATAGTAAATTAACTGTTTTCTTTATATACCACCAGTAAATAATGATTTAGGTCATTTAATGAGTAAACAGGACGACGTGGAGGCAGCTGGTCGACACAGCCGTAAAATCATATCAAGACAAGCACGACTTTTAGTAATGAAGAATACGAAGAAGAATGAGTAAAACTAAATTAATTCTTGTTTTTTCACGATGATCTTTTGACTCAATGCCAGGGAAAGAAACTATTTCGGATAACATCTAAAGATAACCAAAGACGTACCTGATATTTGTTCTCTCCAATACGAGCAGCTGTTAAAGGTTTTCCATCAACTTCAGCGTATAACGCGTAGTTTGGAGGCAATGGGTTATCACAAACTAATGTAAATTCTGTTATATATGCAATTTGTGTGACGATAGTTGCATCTAAACTTGTGAACGATGCCGCTTCAACTTTTGGATTTTGGCAACTTTGTCCATTTGCACTGCTAAATAAAGCAATAGCTGAAACTAAAAGCACAAATTTTGTGACCATTTTGTCTATTGTGACTTAATAATTGAAAAATTAATTCAACTTTTTAATAAACTCGTCCACGTATTCTTATTAGAGGTAAAATGAAATCGAAAGGTTTTTGAATCTTTAAATAATGACAGCTACGTCCGTTCAAATACCCGGTTCCGTGTCTACTTTCACTTGAAAAAATTTTAAAATTTAAATCGAATTCTATTAAATATTTCATTTTATCCTTAAATCTTTATACGTATACGTATATCAAAATAAAAGAAATATATTGGATATATTTTCTTTTAGATATCCATAATTATTATCTCTCCAATGCTACGAAAATATTTAGATTCTGTATTTTGAACGCCTTCTTAAAACATCAGCAGTGACGTGTGACAGAAATGCCAGGCGGTCAGTATTACGTTCCGTTTTACATTTATACTGCCTTGATTTTAAGAATTTTCTGTTTTCTTCTTTTATTACGCAAAAGTTTACTCATTTGGAACTGTGATTTTATAATCCTGACTAATATTATAAAATGCGAAAGAAACTGTTTCCGTCTATATGGCTTTTACGCCAAATTACTGAACCAATTAAACGAAATTTTGGAAATTTGCTTCCCGAAAACAGTATTTCACGCGGACCAAGTCACGGGCATACCTAGTATGATTTAATGCAATTCTATTTGTATGAAAAAAACCACCAAGCGAATCAGTCTTGGAATAATATTAGGTAACCATATAAATAAAACTAATAATCATTCTGAAGATTTTCTATTTTTATTTTTAATTTCCCGCTGCAACGATAGACGAGTACTTTTGTAATGTTTTCAAAGATTCTTAATCTAATGACCAACCTGTGCCAATCCATTTGTCCATACTGTGGCTACATGCCTTATGCTCTTTCTCCTTCTGCTCAACCTTATTTATATTATAAATGCGAATGTTTAGATCGATGGATCGATGTTTGTTTGAAGATATCTCAAGAACGGCTCAAAGGATCTGGCTGAATTTGCATAGATGTAGAAAATAGTCTAGACTGAAAATGCACAGAAATTCCTCTTTATATGCAAGCATTCCTCTTTTAAAAAGGATAAGGATGGGAAAGGAAAGAGGTCTAAAATAATGGATGCAACAGCTGACTTCTCACTTGTACTTGTGTGTTTGGGATTTTCTGAAAGTCTGGAGAGTACGGAGCTGCTTTGGCGGCTATCAGTCCTAGATGAGAGGAGAGGAGAGAGACGCTGTGTGAGTTTTCCTGTTTCTGGACATTTACTCACATCCTAAAAGATACTTACTTTTTTGTGCAAGCGAAATTACATTTTTTCCCTGATCTCTATAATTGGATAGGCGATTACTTAGAAATGACATCTTTTGCTCTGTTGCGATTTCGCGCCATGATGTTACATGACAGTTAATTCTATGTATCTGTACTATTAGTTCCAATCCTCACCACCGCTACAAACCGTTACAATCAGCGCCAAAATGGCGGAAATCAAATGCGCACAAAATACTACGTTGTATAGCCAGTCCATTTATAGAGTACATATTTTTTCTTCCAAATTCCAAATTCGAATTTTGACGTCCAATTCAATTGAACCAGCGGGAGGTATGGTAAGAGGGTAAAGGTATTGGGGGGTAATAAATGACAAGTCGGTGTTACAATTATTGGTAATATCCTATATTAGTGTGTGGGGGGTGTGTGGGGGGTCAGTGCGGCGCGGGCGGTGTCTTGGCGGGCGAGGCGGGGGGCGCGCTCCACTCCACATCGCCCTCGTACTGCGTGTTCTCCAGCCGCGTGATTAACCTCTCGTCCTCATCACCGAATTCGCCCCCCATCAGTGACGGCTCCCCCACAACCATCACGTCCTAATAACAATTATAATATAGTCAGATTTATATTGTTAGGAAGAAAATCCGGTACAGTGCCGGTGTATCGCAACACTAGTCTAACTAAAATGTCGATGTTTATGTCCCCTCACTAATCATTCTGACACTTGACTTTGTAACGAAAGCGCGCCATTGGCGCCAAAAGATTCTAATAAAAGAAAGTGGTGTTAGTTACATTATTTATAATTCAAGAACGGCTTTACCGATATGCCTGAAAATTGATGAGGAGGTAGCTTAGAGCCAGGAGATGGACATAGGATACTATTTATTTTTATTCAAATTTTTGCCTTGAACGGCTGCTTTTTATTTAACTTATCTACATATTAAGTTTTTTTTATATATCTACCCGGAGGGAGTCGCGGGCGTCAGCTAGTAGTATCTAAAAATAATTACGTAAGTTGTAAAGTTAGTTAAATTGCTATTTTTAGACATAAGTCAGACTCCTTTGGCGCGAATGGCTTTCGTTACAAAGTCAAGTGTCAGAATGATTAGTGAGGGGACATAAACATCGATATTTTAGTAAGGCTAGTGTTGCGATACACCGGCACTGTGTCGGATTTTCTTCCTAAAACTATTGTTGGCGTTTTTGTTTTTTTTTTGTCGTGTTTTTTTAATTCATGATGAAACAAAGATTTGGTATATATAGCTATATGGCAGAATTGTGTTTTTTAAATGTAATTTATTTAGCCCTCGCCTTTGAAAAAAGGTGATACAGAGGTTAAGCATTTGACTTGTAATCTATAGGTCATAGGTTCGAATCGCGCCATGTATTAGTGTTTTGCATTTACATATGTACATTTATCCGATGTTACGGTGAAGGAAAACAACGTGATGCTGCACATATCTGAGAAGTTACAATGGGTTAGTATTGACTATGACCTTATCACTTAGGGTAGGCTCCGAGACCCTCAGTAAGTTGATGATGATGTCTTACTAAACTTAAGTGTTGGGTTGTTTGTTTGTCGTATACGTGTTGTATGTGTGTCGTACGTTTGTTACCTGC